ACTCCTTCTAGCCCGTTCCTCTGTCAGGCATGGCCTCTTGGTCCCAGATGACTGCTCCAGCTGCAGCCATCACATCTGCATTCCAGCCAAGAGGAAAGAGAAGAGGCACGGAGACAGACATGCCTCCTTCCTCTGACACTTCCCCGAAGGCACATACATGCAGCACTTCTGCCTCAGCCCTGATCACGTGGCTCCATGGAGCTGTAGGAGGTGCGGGGAAGAGTCTGTATTTCCAGTGGCCGTGAGGCCAGCTGACATTTAGGAGTGCTTTTACTGGAAAAGGGGAGGAAAACAGATGTGGGAAGCAGCCGGGAGTGCCCGGACGAGCAGTCAGCAACAAAGGGCTCCGGCAAAATGTTTCATAAAGGGAGGGCCATTCAAAATCCAGTGACAATGAGATATCATTTTACCTGCGTCAGGCTGGCAAAAGAGAAAAGGTCCAATAAATGCCAGGTCATACAGAGGATGGAGAGGAATGGGAGCTCTCACAACTCTTGCCCGGAGTGAAAATTGCTAGAAGCCCTTTGGAAGCAGTGTGTTTAGAGAAATCACCTGGAGCAGTGTGTAAGAAAGGTGACGCTATTTATTCCTAAAACCCAGGCACTCCGGCTACTTCTAGAGCAGCGGTTCTCAACCTGTGGGTCGCGACCCCTTTGGGGGTCGAACGACCCGACCCTTTCACAGGGGTCGCCTAAGACCATCAGAAAACACATATATAATTACATATTGTTTTTGTGACTACTCACTATGCTTTAATTATGTTCAATTTGTAACAATGAAATTGGGGGTCACCACATGACGGACTGCATTAAAGGGCCGCGGCATCAGGAAGGTTGAGAACCACTGTTCCAGAGAAAGGCTCACGTGCACTCAAGGAGAAAGGTACAGAATTGACGGTAGCATTGCGTGTAGCTTTGAAAAGCTGGAAACAAGTAAATGTCCAGGGATTCATAGAGCACGGCATGCGCACGTGATGAATTATAATACAGCAATCAAGATAAATGACCCAGAGCCACATGTGTCAACACGGACACACCTCAAAACACGACTGAGAAAACTCAGTTGAATCTGTGATGTTTCATTTCATAAAGAAAGAAAAGAAGCTGAAACTGGTGTGGCTCAGTGGATACAGCGTCGGCCTGCGGACTGAAGGGTCCCGGGTTCAATTCCGGTCAAGGGCATGTACCTGGGTTGCTGGCACATCCCCAGTAGGAGATGTGCAGGAGGCAGCTGATCGATGTTTCTCTCTCATTGATGTTTCTGGCTCTCTGTCTCTCTCCCTTCCTCTCTGTAAAAAATCAATAAAATATATTATAAAAAAAGAAAGAAAGAAAAGAAAAAAGACATCATGTTAAGAACTGATGAACTGGGTGGTAGTTGCACAGGTGTTTATTATTTTTTATTTTTTAGCAATTGAGAGTGGGGTGGGTTTTTTTTTTGCATTTTTTGTAAATTGAACATAGCATAAAATTTACCATTTTAACCATTTAAGTGTACAGTGCAGTGGCATTAAGTAATTTCACATTGTTGTGCAAAAACCACCGCCATCCATCTCCAGAACTTTCTTTGTCTTCCCAAAATAAAACTCCATATCCATTAAAAAATAATGCCTCGTGCCCCTCCCCCATCCTTCCAATCCCTGGCAGCCACCTTTGTTTTCTGCCTCTGAACTTGACTACTCTATACATGTGTATTGGTCCTTTTGTGACTGGCTTATTTCACTTAGCTTCAAGTCTTCAAGGTTCACAGGGGTTGTAGCATGTGACAGGATTTCCCTCCTTTGAGGACTGAATAATACCCTATTGTATGTATTTACCACATTTTGTTTATCCATTCATTTGTCAATGGATTTTTGGATGGCTTCCACCTTTGGGGCTATTGTGAATAGAGCTGCTATACACATGGGTGTGCAAATATCTGTTCGGTCCCTGCTTTTAATTCTTTGGGGTATATGCCCAGAGGTGGACTTGCTAGATTATATGATAATTCCATTTTTATTTTTATTTTTTAAAATATATTTTATTGATTTTTCACAGAGAGGAAGGGAGATAGCTAGAAACATTGATGAGAGAGAAACATCGATCAACTGCCTCCTGCACATCTCCCACTGGGGATGTGCCCGCAACCCAGGTACATGCCCTTGACTGGAATCGAACCTGGGACCTTTCAGTCCTCAAGCCAACGCTCTATCCAGCAAGCCAAACCGGTTACGGCGATAATTCCATTTTTAATTTTTTGTGTTTTGTATCATCTCGAAGCAGAATGCCCTTACATGCATCTTACACATACTCTTTAAGAAGTCAAAGTACTGAATGGCCGTGGCCATGGCTTCCCCGAGCCATTGAAGGTGAATCCACACCCACACTGGTGCTGACGTTCATCCTAGTGATGGCTTCATGAAGGCATGGGACCCACTTCAGGCCAGTGAGGTGGGAAAAGAAGTGCGTTGTGTGTTGTGTTGTGTGTGTGTGTGTGTGTGTGTGTGTGTGTGTGTGTGTAGAGGGGGGCTTCAGGGAGCTATTTCCTTATTCCTGAGGAAAACACTAGAAGGGGGCCTTGTTTGCGGGCATGACTCTGTTAGCTCTGATGCCTGGAAACAATGCCCGTCTTGCCACCACTCTGAGGATGGAGCAACACGGGTGGCAGAGCCGAAGGGTGGGAGGGCCTTCGTTTCAGTGCTGTGGAGGTTTGGGCTGTTCAGTGGATTATGCAGGTACAGGTACATGCAATAATTGTCCTATTTTGAAAAATGTGTTTTTATTGATTTTAGAAAGAGGAAGGGAGAGGGATAGACAGAAACATTGATGAGAGAGAATCATTGATCACTGCATGCCCCCCATTGGGGATCGAGCCCGCAACCGGGGCATATGCCCTGACTGGGAATCAAACCATGACCTCCTGGTTTATGAGCCAGTGCTCAACCACCGAGCCACACTGGCCGGGTGCCATAATTGCCCTATTACTCAAATAGTCTGAATGGGAGCTGTTACTCGAGGTTGAAAGCATCTTCACTGATTTAGGAAATAACTTCCAATTTAAAACGTTAAAGTATATGTTCTCATAAGCATCTAGGAATACATAATAAACTTAAATGCTCTCCTCACTGCCCCCACTCCATTTTCCTCCCGTTGGAAAATGTACTTTTATAGCACATTCATGTAATCTGTGAACACTACACATAGGATTTTAAGACAGTGTTGTGCTGCCCACGCTGGTGATGGCGAGGGGCACGTGGCTTCCGCGAGATGTGTTGGATGATCACAGCAGGCCAGGGGTCAGCCGGCTCAAGGCGTGTCCTGACCCTCTACTTCCCTTCTCTGTATATGTGTCATTCTTGGGGCCCCGTCTCTTCCTAATTGGCCCAAAGAAATACACATTGATCTGGAGCAAATAGATTCTGAAAGCCCTAGCCGGTTTGGCTCAGTGGCTAGAGCGTCAGCCTGCGGACTCAAGGGTCCCAGGTTCAATTCTGGTCAAGGGCATATACCTTGGTTGCCAGCACATCCCCAGTAGGTGGTGTGCAGGAGGCAGCTGATCAATGTTTCTCTCTCATCGATGTTTCTAACTCTCTATCCCTCTCCCTTCCTCTCTGTAAAAAATCAATAAAATATAGTTAAAAAAAAATAGATTCTGAAAGAAACAATAAACTGGTAATTTCTATAATACAAAAAAAACCCCACTAGCACACCCTCCCAACTCCAGTTTTTTTATTTTGTGCGGTAGAGAAAGACAAGATTCCAAACTGACCAATATTTCCTCCATATTGGGTTAAAAAGACAAGAGAGCTAACCAGACTGCAGACACCCGCATAGCTTTCTGTCAGAAGGACTTTCTAGCCCAGCAGGACTCCCTGAGCTGCGGAGGGGCCCAGCCTGCTGCTGCCCTGATGCTGGATGACCTGAGAAACCGAGGCAGTGGGACTCGCATCAGGTCCCACGAACCCAGATGAGGCTCTATCACCCCCCTTGGACACAGAGGGTCAAGTATGGTAGCAATCATCTCAAGTAGAAACTATAGTTTAACTTTAACCCTGCTGTTTGGTTTCTGTACTTATTTGTTTGCTAAAGTAATAGAAAAGTTATTTTGATTTTCTGAATTACATAAATTATCCCATTCGATTAAATACCCTATTGATTGTACTGTGAATATCCCATTGGTTGTGGTCACACTGGTCTTAGAAAGCACATTCTCCTTTACCTGGGAAGGACAGCACAGTTATCCCAAGGTCAGAGGGCTCCAGTTAATATGACCCGGTTGACTCAGTGTTCCGGAGACCCAAAACTGTAATTTAGATAACATGCTGCTTCTGCTTCTGTAAACTGCTTTTTTGCAAACCAGGTTCCTCATTCCAAACCTTGGGATGTCATCAATACCTTTGTGATCTTTGCCTCTACAAGTCTGGTTTTGCGGCCCTCTTACTACTATGAGATTTGGGGAATGGCCTCTCATAGTCCCGGATTGCAATAAATGTGACTCTTTAATTCGACTTCTTGAGGTGTCCTTCTGTGATTCACGGGGTACGTTACAACAAGGGGAAACTGAGACCCCAAAAGGGAGAGCTGCCTGCGGTCCAACAGGTTTTCAGGAGCAGGGGCCAAACAGGGCGGGGCGCTGTTTGGGGGGCCCGGCTGTTAGTACTCAGATGGAGGACTGTGGCTTGAGGTGGGGATGCAGGAAGCTGCTGGGAGGGCGGGGAGAATCCGGGGACTCAGGCCAGTTGTCCGGAACCGCATAACCCAGGACCCGGGAATGTTTAATCCGTAAGGAGAAACACTGGAGACAGCGTGAGAGGCCAAGAAGCCGCGGGAGCCCTTGGTTCCCAGTCGGGGCTGCAGAGGTGGGTGGGGAAGATGCCATCTTTGGCCTCCAGGTTCAGGTCCGTAGGTCATTTGGCACCATTTCTCCTCCTCACAGATTGCAGGCAGGCCAGGCGGCTCTCCCCGCTTCTCTCAGGGCCCTTTGCACTCCACCCGCAGGCCTTCCGTAGCCTTCTGCACTGAGGCGCCCGACTGGGGATGGAAACACTGAGGCCCAGCTCAGGGAACCACGAAGGACCAGGAGCTCAACGGGTGGGTGCCTCTTCAGCAGGCCCGCGGTCACCTGGACACCAAGCTGTTTATTTTTCCTTTTAGCTCCGAGGATCAAGAGAGAGGGCACTGTCTTCCATGGGAGGACTCTGAACACTCCTCCCCCCTCCCCCCACCCCTCCTGAGCTTCCAGCGTGTTAAGTGCAGGCAGAACGCAAGCACCTGGGGAACCCGCGCGGGGGAGGGCGGGCGTGGGGAGCCCACCTGCGGTCGGACAAGCGCGGGGGGACCCATCGGTCTAAGCCCCATCACTTGGGGGCCAGCACCGCGGCCCGAAGCGTTCCCTCCGGCACCTGGGAGCCCCACACACCTGGAGGCCGCTCGTGTCCGCCCAGAGGGCGCTGCAGACTGGCGCGCA